AGGCTGTGGATCATGCAGATCTTCTGAGTAGAGTGCGGTTGGCTCAAGAGAAGGACAAAGGTTTGATTGCGGCTTCTAAGGCAGAGGGCTCTGAGTATCAGTTCGCAGCTAATGGGACTATCCTTGTGCATGGGCGGGTTTGCGTGCCTAAGGATAAGGAGTTGCGGCGTGAGATCTTGAGAGAGGCTCATGCGAGCATGTTTTCCATTCATCCGGAAGTGACCAAGATGTATCGAGACCTCAAGCGGTACTATCATTGGGTTGGGATGAAGAGGGATGTAGCTGACTAGGTCGCTAAGTGCGACGTTTGCCAGTTGGTGAAGGCTGAGCATCAGGTTCCTAGTGGTCTGTTGCGGAGTTTGCCCATTCCGGAGTAGAAGTAGGATATGATCACTATGGACTTTGTGGTTGGTTTGCCTGTGTCACGGACCAAGGATGTTATTTGGGTGATCGTGGACCGTCTGACTAAGTCAGCACATTTTCTGGCCTTCAGAAAGACTAATGGAGTGGCGGTTTTGGCTAAGAAGTATGTGAGCGAGATCGTGAAGTTGCATGGAGTACCTGTGAGTATTGTGTCGGACAGGGACCCCAGGTTTACTTCAGCTTTCTGGGATGCCTTTCAGGCAGAGATGGGCACTAAGGTGCATTTGAGTACGGCGTATCATCCTCAGACAGATGGGCAATCTGAGAGGACTATCCAGACACTGGAGGATATGTTGCGAATGTGTGTCTTGGATTGGGGTGGTCATTGGGCTGATCACTTGAGTCTGGTGGAGTTTGCTTATAACAATAGCTACCAGGCGAGTATTCAGATGGCTCCTTATGAGGCGTTGTATGGGAAGCCATGCAGGACACCATTTTGCTGGACCCAAGTGGGAGAGAGGAGCATATATGGTGCAGACTTTGTTCAGCAGACTTCCGAGAGGATTCGGGTTCTGAAGCTGAACATGAAGGAAGCTCAGGATCGTCAGCGGAGTTATGCTGACCAGAGGAGGAGAGAGCTTGAGTTCGAGGTTGGGGATAGAGTGTACCTTAAGATGGCCATGTTGCGAGGTCCGAACAGGTCTATCTCTGAGAATAAGTTGAGTCCGAGGTACATGGGTCCGTTTGAGATTGTTGAGAGGGTGGGACCAGTGGCATACATGCTGGAGTTGCCAGAGGTCATGCGCGCGTTCCACAAGGTGTTCCATGTGTCGATGCTGAGGAAGTGTCTTCACAAGGATGATCAGGTGTTGGCTAGGATTTCTGAGGATCTTCAGCCCAACATGACTTTGGAGGCGAGACTAGTGAGGATTCTTGAGAGGAGGATCAAGGAACTTCGGCGGAAGAAGATTCCTTTGATCAAAGTCCAGTGGGACTGCGACGGTGTGTCGGAGGAGACTTGGGAGCCAGAGGCGAGGATGAAGGCAAAGTTCGGGAAGTGGTTCGAGAAGCAGGCGGCTGCTTGAGTGCCTATCCTTGGTTTCCAGTTTCAGAGTTTTCAGAGTTTTTGGAGTTTTTGAGTTTTGAGTTGTTGTTCTTATTTTTCTTTCATTATGTATTTTCGTTTGGAGTTGTAACGATTATGACATTTTGAGATTAATAAGATGAGTATTTCTTGGATTTGACTTGAGTTGTCTTATTTAAGAATGTATTGAGCGGTTTCTAAAAAGGGAAAGTTTCCTCAAGTGGAATTTCTATTTTTGGAAAGTTCGAGGGAGTACTCGAAAGCGGTTAGTATTGTTGCTCCGGGACTTGAGTGTCCTGATGACTTGAGAGGAGCGGAGTATGCTCCAGAGGTACCGGTATTTGAGGGACTTGGTGTCTATAGAGTGCGTTGGGTACGGTGGCTTCGGGTGACGATCCGAGAGCACGCTCTTTAGGGTGACGACCCGACAGCGAGTTTGTAGTATTATCTTCTCCAAGTGTCGGAACTTGATGACTTTGTGGCTGATAGTGAGCGGACACAACTCTGGGTTTTGACCTGTGAGCGGGGAGGATAATACATTCGATACCTGAGATACCGTAGGCCGAGGCCTGAGAGTAGCGGTTTATGCTCAAAGACTGCGGTCTGAGAGCAGTATTGGAGTCGTGAGCAACAATGACTAGCGGAAGTCGGGAGTATATCGACTAAGCTGGGACCCGGAGGGGTCGGATTGGAGAAAGTGCGGACCGACGTTTCGGTTGTTCAGAGTTTGCGGATTAGAGGTGTTAAGCTAGATTCGAGGACGAATCTATGTTAGTGGGGGAGAATTGTAACGCCCGCGAACCAGGTTTCGGTTCAGCGTGTCGATCGACACCATTAGGGTGTGTCGATCGACACTAACGTTTTCGACAATTGGGCTTTTGGGCTTTCGATTGTGCGATTTCGTTCGGTTTAGGGAAGGAAAACCCTAATGGGCTCGTTTATAAGGTTCAGGGAATGCGACCTAGGGCTTTCATCAGCCATTTTATCGTTTTCCAAGAGAGTTTTAGAGAGAGAAGTTCCTGAGAGCCTTTCTGTGAGTTCCTGAGCCTGTTTCTGAGAGATTTCCTAGTGGTGAAGGAGATCTAAGTCCGGTGGTGCGTTGAGAAGCTTGTAGGGGTCGTTCTCCTTCCTGTGTTCGTGCAGTTTTGTTCAGTTTTCTTCCAGAGAAGAGGTGAGTGCATGACTGAGGGCTTATCTGAGCATTAGATCCTTTGTGTGAACCGTTTATGTGTTGATTTGGTCGTGATTGCCTTGCTGGGTCCTTGTGTGGCCTGTGTGTGAGTCGCTGGTCTAATTAGGGCACTGGAGAAGGAGAATTCGCGATGTGGAAATCGCTGGAAAAGTGCCTGCGCGATTGGTGTCGTTCGACACCAATGGAAGGTGTCGTTCGACACCAATGGAAGGTGTCGTTCGACACAGATCGGGCAAGGTGTCGATCAGGGAGTCTCTGTCGATCGACACCAATCGGGCTGAGTGTCGATCGACACGGAGGTCGTGTGTCGATCGACACATGTTCGTCAGAAAGTCTGGTTGTCTGGTTTGTTTGAGTTTGCTGTTTTTGTGTATTGTTTCTATTGCTTGTGTGTATAGCCTGTTGCTTGGGAGGATTGCCTCACTAAGTATTTATGATAATACTTACGCATCTCATTCGTGTTGTGATGCAGGTAAAGGCAAAGTGTGACGTGGAATCGTGGCGAGGAAGAGGGGATGATCTAGATGTTCGTGTGTTGTGATCATCGTTGTTGTGTCTGTTTTGCTAGGTTGTTAGTTCAGAGAGATAGCACTTTCACCTAGGTTGCTTTTCATAAATTTTTGAGTTGAGATTTGTTATTGTTGAACTATTGGTTATTTTATTGGATTTATTTTTAAGACTTTAATGCTCTTTCCCGTTGATTGTGTTGAGGTGTTTAGTGAGTATGGGATCACTAGACATGAGTTTATTTAAATAAAAAAAAATGGGTTGGGGTGTTTCACTCTCTTTTGAAAAGAACTGTCCTATTATATTATATGATTTGTTTGTATGCTTTTAACTTTCATCTCACAATTGAAGATTTGGTTAGATTTTTTCTCTTCATTTTTTTTTTTTCTTTTAAACAGGGGGATGGCTATTTAGCAAAGGAATGC